TATGTATTTTCTCTGCGAGGCTCCGCACGGAAGAACCCTTCGCGATGCTTTCTGGAAAAAAACTGTTGCACACAGCCCCGATATTCGGAGCTGAGACCTGCGCTGATCGGAGGGCTTCTTTCGAATTTTGTCCAAAACCTTTCGGGCTTACACCCGTAGGTGTACCCATACAGCATTCCTCAAAGGATTCCTTGGAGGTGAGGGCTTCAGGGTTCTGTAAGAGTTCCGTACGACGCCCTCCAGAGAGTCCGAGCTGCTTGAGGCGACGGGATCTTCTAGTACAGGGGCCGTAAATGTTAGAATAAGGTTGTAGGGCATACTGTCAGTACTGGAAGTATACTACGGACCCTGCGAGCACTGTTGGCAGTTCTCCAGGATTATATATCATCTATCTTACCAAAGACTCAGCCGGTCCTCTGGGCACACATCCTTCCAGCTGCTGCTGTCCTCAACAGAAACAGGGGTCGGAGAAGGGTGTCGAAGCCCTGGGCCTACGGTTCCGAGGCTTTGAAGTAATGCATGTGATATCTAGTATACGACTTATACAAGGTAATATATAATGTATACCATATAAGATAGAACATTGATGTTTGATAGATTGCATGTTGTCTTTGCGGCCTTTGGTGCCCCAGGGCCGTGGTTTTACAGTCTAGTGAAGAAGAAGTTTCATGTGCGGCCTGACGGTATCACTGCAAATAAAATCCCAGGTCGTAAATTAAATCTAAAGTAAAATTTGCTTATGATACTTATGATTGTAATATATCGGTCTTCGTGTAGTTGTTCAAAGCATTCCCGTGACTGCTGCCTGCCCGTGTTTCGCGACCACCATGATCCTGTTTACGATGCTGAGGACTGACGATTTCTTTCAGGTTTGTGGTGTCCTTATTGTCGTGCCGGCGAGGAAGCCGCGCAACCAATAGGTGGACGCCCACACCGCTCAGCCCCTCCGGGCCTATTACCCCCCCCCCCTCCCACCGGCCTGTACCTATATGAAGCACACAAACCCTCTACCATCCCCGAACACTGAAACCCTAAAATCTGAAACAGTCATCAACCACAGAATATATAAACCTTTTCCCGAGGACGCTATATTTCGTGCTGGCCTCCGGCGACCATCCTCGAGCAGTCTTCGCCTCAGGGAGGATGTGATATTAAATGATACTGTAAGCTGGTATATGCTAGACAGTTTTTATTCTATAGTACGCACCATGTCGTGCTATGGAATGTAGAAAACTTAGTATATCGCAAATCATATGTCGGCACAACCTGCGATTAGGATCCCTGCTTCAACTCAGACGATGCAAGGGTCAAGGCAGACCCACATTGCATGAAATCAGGAACACGAATTGGCCACTGCAGCTTTGTGCTGGTGATTTAAAGCAGAAGTAGCTGAGGCCGCGACCAAGTGGTACGCCTCCTTCTTCTCCTTCTTCTCTTTCTTCTCCTTCTTCTCTTTCTTCGCTTTTTTCTCCTGGAAAATCTCCTGGGAATTCTCCTGGGAAATCTCCTTCGGGACATGCACAGGCAAACGAGCAAAAATGGAAAAAGACATCTGCAAAGACTCCTAGGACTTCCAAAGTACTCGATGCGAGCAACATCACACATTACACAGAAAGCTGGACTTCTAGAGGCACATGTTGCCCAACAATGGCTAAGCACAGCCTTTGAACAAATGCCCAGGATCCTCGTTGGACACATCCACGACCTTCTCCTCACACGGCTCCGTTTCAGCTTGAGCACGCTTCGCAAGATAACACGCAGGAGCATGGTCAGTCTTCAAGAGTTGGGTCTTGAGCCGGTGAAAATGGCCTACTAGGCCTACCAGCACTCGAGGATTCACATCCGTTGTAGAGAACAGCAGGAGGAGGACAACTGAAACCGCAGCTGCCAGACATTGAAAAAGGAAGAGCATGATGGCCATCGTGGTGCTGATCCTTGTCATCATCGTCACCATCATCCTAGGGACACTACTTAAGCCCGGCAAGAAGGACGGCGCAGGGGAGCAAATAAGGCTTTATTAAACCTGCATTAGGCATTTTATTGGGAGCCATTAAGACCCCTGCTTTCTGCAGCCTTTTTTGAGGACATAAGCAAAGCCACAAGTCTCAGGGGCAGTCGCTTCCAACTGATCTTTGCTGAACCAAGGACGAAAGAGCCTAGAGTACCTCGGAACTTCAGAGTCACACGTTCCAAGTTCGGGTCACGAGACAGAAGCCTGATGAACGGCGGCTACAAATAGGCTCGGGAAAGCGGTGCTGGACGAAACCTTCAGGCTTGTGGCGCACACCCTGTTGCGCGACGTCAACACACAAGCCTGCAGAACAACAGCGCCACCGAAAGGAGTCAGAAGCTTCGGGTGTTGGCAAAAGGGGTCTGAAGGGTTCGGAGATGATCACAAGGTCCTCGGATGCGAGACTCTCTGAGCTGCCCTCTGACTCCTGGAAAGCTGGAGCTTCCCGGTTCCAAGGGACTGGGAGACTCTAGTTGGATTTCGCTGGCTTTCGTTGCTCATGCTCTTCTGACGGTTTTTGAACGTCTCACCGTCCAACTGTTCCTGGTGGACTTTAACAGTTACGGTATCTCGACGATAAAGTGGAGCAGTTGTCACGCTTGTGGACAGGACTGTGGCGGCTGCAGCCACCAAAGCAGACCCTGCCGCTATCGCTGCTGCTACTGTACACAATGATCAGGATCATAATCGTACTCTCTTGCAGTTCGATAGTTCTTGGTCTGAACCGCGTGCAGTTTCTGCAGCGATACTCTTACGACCGAAACAGAAAGTCTCTAAAGCCCAGAGGACACTCTCGGGCTCAGGACTGGAAGTTGTTGGGGATCTGGGGGTAAGCCCGGAACCTAAACCCCAAGCCCCCTTTTTAGGGGAGACGCCGAAAGGTTGTCGAGACCTCGGAGCAGAGGGTAGACGCGCAGTGCACCGCTGGGGCGGTTCTTGGGGGCTTAAGGTATGGGGTTTACGGTTTAGAGTTGAGGGGCTTTTTTTGGGCTTGAGGGGTGTTTAGGGTTTAGGGTCGAAGCTTTCACTGCAAACACACTTCCCTGCAACTTAAACCCTAAATCCGGGGTTCATGGACTCAGCTCTGCGGAACCTGAGGGCATGTTTCTACAAAAAAACAGAAAAAGCAGATCGCAACTTCGCGCAATGCGCCTGGTCTGCCCCGCCGGGAGCGCCTGCGAACTCGAGCTTTCTGGGGCTAAGTCTGATATAACCTTTCTGAAGGGCGTTGGGTTGAAGACAGGGGTTAAGGGTTTAGGGTGTACCCTGTGAGTTATGACTTGTGATGATAGCTACCAGCTCCTGAGATCAGGAATTGAGGTCTCAGTTCGTCCCAAAGGCCCTCTCCTGAAGCAGGCCTGGTCCTTTGTACACACCTGGAAACGGGCCAAAGAACGACGCAACACAGGACCGTCCAACCATAAATGTGGAGATCGTATTTCGAGAGGAACCATTCGAATCTGAAAGTCTACGAAAAAACAACTCAGACAATGCACTGCAAACTCCGAAACCAGACTTAACCCCTTGTCCGCCTAAACCCTCGAAACCACCAAAAAGAGAAATCAGAAGCCCCAAACCCGAAGCCCCGAAAACTTAAGAGAATAAAGGGGCCACCTTCTTCCACTGCGTTTGTGAGCTCCACTTCGGGGCCCATCGAAACGCTCGACTTGTCTTTGCCTCAAAAGCTAAGGTTATTGTGTTTATCGACCTTGCTGTCAAAAAACCCTAAACCTGGAGGACACAGCTGCAGAATGTTAATAAAAAATCATGGAATCCGTCACTAACAAGCACCAGCGTTAAGAAAAACACTCCACATTTAGGCTACCAAACTAGGGACATGACATGACATGACATGACATGACATGATATACATACATGCATACATGTACATATATATATATATATACATACACACTAAGACACCGTCAAATTGTACAAAAAGGCGCAGACCCTGGGTCTGTCTGTGGCCTGGGGCCTCCCATGAAACTCAAGGTGAAGATGTGTGGAGCGGTGTCTGAAAGACTTCGAAAGATAGGACTCGGGCATTCACTAGTAGGAGGAAATCAAGACTGGACTATATGGGTCAGGATTTAGGCGTTAAGGTTTAGGGTTTAGTCTGCCATGGAAGCTTGAATCAGCGGAAGTGTTAAGTGTTGATTGCTGGGAGAACCTGCCGATTGCTGGCCAAACCTGCGAGAGACGGTAAACGGCTGAGAGATGTGTGAGGGCCTTGGTGCTAGTAGGTCTACCGCTGGAGTACATCCAGTGTGAGGCTCTGGCCACACCCAACATGACGAGTCTATAGGGCAGATGCATAGACCATTTTGAACAGTTCCCACGGAGCTGGAGAGTGTTATATAAACTGCCAGAATATTCAACATATTCATGCAGCGACGTTATGTAAGGAACCATTATGAAAAAAGGTCGAAAACAGTAACAGCACCGGAACTTTGGTGTACGTAGGCTGAAACAGCTGTACAAGCCAGCACAGGTGCAAGCCAAGCTGCCGCTGGACAAGTCCTCCAAACACTCACCAAGCTCCTGCAAAGGTGGCACGATGTCTGGTCTTCGGCTCGACAGACTCGAATTCGACTTGATTTCAGGGTTTTCGGTTCAGGGCTTAATTAACTTGAATCCATGGGGATCTGCTGCGGCTGCCCACCGACGACGAAGAAGAGAACCGCCACCAGTACTACTAGCACTGCCCTTGCGAAGGTGCGACGACTACACTTCGACTACTAACCACTACCGCTCTCGTTGCGCATACTGCGAGCCACTGCGAGCATCATTGTGATCTTCTAGATGCTGCCTAAGATAACTGCTCCACAAGTACAGAATCCTACAGGCTTGTGCTGCTCCTGCCACTGATGCTGCCGCTCTTGCTACAGTTCTACAGCATTCCTCTCTTGGTGGGTTCTGTCTACTTGCCTCGCGAGGGGATCGGCATCTTCTTGACGCACATCAATCCCAACCACGAGCCCAGCAAGCCATGTAAAGCGTCCCCGCACAGCTTACGTCCGAAACCCTCAGATCAAAACAAAAGCAGCAACCTTTCAATCCAGCAGCCCGCAGAGGTACCTCCTGATTGCCGATTGCACGCGCATCCCCGCGAGAGGTGAAAATGCCCATCAGTAGTCTGACCTTTGGGAATTTAAGTTCAGGGTCCACGGCAGAGGGTTGACAGGGCGAGGAGGTTCGGGGAAATGCACGCATTCAGGGCTTGGCATTGAGGGTTGCGAGGTTCTGGGCTGATGATTGAAGGCTGGCATCTGTTCGCGGCTACATCGGCAGGAGACATGCAATTGAGAACCTCAGTGTCAGACAAGCCATGCTACCTGCAAAGATCCTCCCGAATTGTTTAATCATATTCGACTGCCAGTTCTGGCGAGCACCATGCTTCGGAGCGTCTTGTCCGAACCCGGAATTCCGACCACTTTCTCACAGCAGCCCAATAGAACCCCTATCTTCTCTGCTAAGGTAGCGTGAGGTGCGACCTGCATCGTTCTAAAAAACAGGGCCAGCCAGAACGATGGCAAAGACGTCAACCGCACAGACGACATCCTCTGAGCCACCAGCGGCTTGCGCCATGCTGGCAACGATGCCTGGTCCCAGGGTTGATGGCTTCGCCGTGTTTCTTGGCTTACGGCTGAGAGTCGCAAGCTCGGACGCTGGGGTTGGCGATTTTTTGAGCTTTGCGGCTTTACAGCTAAAGACTTCGGCCCAAATGCATGTATCAGCGGGGAACACGAGCAAGGAATGGGAGAATGCTGGTAAATTATGAGAACGGCAAACGCTCTTGTGGCAGTGCTGGCATCATACAGACCAAAGAAACCGCAAACGTTGTGAAGCACCCTGCGGAATATCTTGAGATTGAGCTGTCACCACAAGCGTAGCCCTCTAAGTGCGGCACTATGTCGCACACTGCGCTTGCGGCAGGGGCAGCACTGGTATTGACGTGAAACTCAACGTCTGATGAGATCAGACTCGCTTCGGGTTTTTCTCACAGGAGGTGAAGCCAGTTGTCACGTGTCTGCTTGTGACGACTCATCGTACACAACTGAAGAGCTCGCAAGCTCAAATCACGATCGTCCATCTAGTCTAGGAGTCAACTGTCAGAACAACACTCCTGATGTTGTGACACTTCAAACAATAAGCCGAAACGACCAAGCGTTTGATTGAAATGCCCACAGATGGATGGTGTCGCATGCTCGGGTGAAGGCACAAGCTGCTGCGGAAATCTAGGACTGTGCCCAAAAACGCGAAACCTTACATCCACCGAACTATATATACTTCGCGCATTCTAGAGAAACCAGGATTCGGTCAAAAATCCAAACGTCAGTTTTGACAGCTGGGTTTTAACATTTGACGGTAACTAAGGCGAGAGAACACGACTTGAACAGCGGGTTTACGCC